GAATTATGACAGCATTAAACTACATGGCGAAAAAAAAACAAGTGGGGTGGGAAAAATAATTACAGGTGGGGGAGAAGGAAAGGGAGGGGGGAGGGAGAGAGGAAGAGGGAGGAAGAAGGTTGGGGAAGGGAGAGGGAGGCGAGGGAGGGGGAGGAAGAAGGAGGCGAGGGAGGGGGAGGGAGAGGGAGGGGGAAGGAGAGGGAAGCGAGGGAGGGGGAGGGAGAAGGAGGGGGAAGGAGAGGGAGGCGAGGGAGGGGAAGGGAGAGGGAGGCGAGGGAGGGGGAGGGAGAGGGAGGCGAGGGAGGGGGAGGGAGAGGGAGGCGAGGGAGGGGGAGGGAGAGGGAGGCGAGGGAGGGGGAGGGAGAGGGAGGCGAGGGAGGGGGAGGGAGAGGGAGGCGAGGGAGGGGGAGGGAGAGGGAGGCGAGGGAGGGGGAGGGAGAGGGAGGCGAGGGAGGGGGAGGGAGAGGGAGGCGAGGGAGGGGGAGGGAGAGGGAGGCGAGGGAGGGGGAGGGAGAGGGAGGCGAGGGAGGGGGAGGGAGAGGGAGGGAGAGGGAGAGGGAGGCGAGGGAGGGGGAGGGAGAGGGAGGCGAGGGAGGGGGAGGGAGAGGGAGGCGAGGGAGGGGGAGGGAGAGGGAGGAAGATCGTGGGGGAGGGTAGGGGGAAGGAGAGGGGGGTGAAGGGGGCACAAGGAGGGGGGAGGGAGAGGGAGGAAGAGGAAGGGCGAGGAAGGGAGAAGGTAGAGAGAGAGAGAGAGAGAGAGAGAGAGAGAGAGAGAGAGAGAGAGAGAGAGAGAGAGAGAGAGAGAGAGAGAGAGAGAGAGAGAGTCAAAGTCAAAACACTTTATTCCATTATGGTTATTCTTTACATAAATACTTTTATATTTACATTTGAGGCGTTCTTTTATTTTCGTTTTAGAATTATAGAAGCTGCTAATGTCTCTTATATTATCTGGTAGCATGTTCCATAACTCGGGTCCACGTATTTCCATTCGTCGTCCCCTATATAGGTATTCGATCTCTTGACAAAAAGGGAATTTAATTGACGTGTCTGGACAACTGATGTGTTCCCTGCGGTTTGCAAAGGCATTAACCATTTCGGATAATTCCCATGAATGAGTTTGTAAATGAATACACATGTGTCAGAGCTGCATTTGGAGTGGACTTTTAACCATTTTAATTTTTTGATATGCGGGGTAATGTGATCAAGTTTACTGATATTACCTAATGCTACTCTGACAGTAAAGTTTTGTCATTTTTGCATTTTTTGCATCTGGGTTTTGTTAGTCGAACCCTAAATGTTTAAACAATAGTTAATTATGCTCAGAGCTAGACTTTGTACAACCATGATTCTAGTTTCATTAGTGATTTCATATACAAGGATACCCACTACTTTCTTAATTTTGCTTGTGTAAGACTATATTGCGTGTTTCTTATTAATGTATTTAAGTTGTTTACTGAGTCGCTATGAAGAAAGTGTGAATCATCGGCGCACTGCACTAGAAGGCAGTTATGGGCTATTGTTTATGAATAATTTATGAAAATTGTAAATAGGATCGGGCCTAAAATAGATCCTTGCGGAACACCAAAAGGTACTTGTTTTGATGACATACCATTATTGACTCTTAAAAATTGGGTCGTTGTATATAAAAAACTTTTAAACCAAAAGGTATCAGTTTTATGATTTACTAATTTGTTAAGGAGAATTTCAGTGTTAACACTATCAAAAGCCTTAGAAATGTCGTATGTGAGCATATTTACCTGATTTTTGTCTGTTATTATATATCTCCTCAATAATTTGTAGTAAAGCTGTTTCAGTAGATAACCTATTTCTAAAACCATGTTTTAATAAGTTATCGGCCTCCAGGAAACTCGTCAGTTGATTTGCTAATTTTTTAATCAAGAATTTTGGATAATATAGGGAGTATAGTAATAGAGCGATAATTATTGACATTGTCTCTATCCCCCGACTTGAAAATTGGTGTTACTATACCATGCTTCCAGAGCGATGGAAAGACACCAGTGGCTAGAGAGGTGATCATAATGACCATCAAATAATGTACAGTTGCGGGTAGACTATCTCTGATAAAGCGCAAAGCAATGCCGTCTGCTCCTACAGCATGATTGTTTCTACGTCCACTGGTCGTGATCTGAAAATAGTTGTAATCTTTGCCCGATCTGTGTTTTATTGTAATGTAGTAGCAATTGTTTGCTCATAAGTTGGTTTTCCAATTTTTGAAAAAAGGCATTAAAATGATCTGCTCATTGTATGGGACTTGCAATCACCACTGAGGTGTTTGTTGTGAGGCACTAGTTTTTTAACAATTTTCCATGTTTTATCAGAATTGTTCTTTATTTCTGAAATAATTTCTTTTTGCACATTAGATTAGCAATTTTACATTTTTCTTTTTGGCTTTGTAATCTATCTGAAAGCCTGCCTTATTTCTGTTACTTTTAAGAGTGTGGTGGGCATTATTTCTATCGCTAATGGCTCTCTTGATGTCATCTATCCATGGAGCTGGGATGTCTGACGGTTCGTGTTAGTAGGGAGCCAGCGCGTCAATAACTTCCGTGAGAATAGTTACTTGGTTGTTTACATTATCTGTCGATGAAATATCTGACAGAGTCATTTCTTTAGATAAGATAAGCTCGCAGAAAGACTGGGGGTCGTAGTGTTTGAAATCACGAAAAGTTTTTATTACTGGTTTGTTTTCTTTATATTTAACGTCATTGTTATAAGTTCATGGTCAGCAACATGGCACAGGATGACATCGAAGTGGAGAATGAGGTCTGGTCTTTTAGTTATTATTAAATCTAATAAAGAAGAGGTGGTTTCTGTAATCCGTGTAGGTTTATCAGTTATTTGTTCTAATTATTTTTTCTTAATCATCTTAGCTAACTTAGCATTGGATTTTGTTGGATCATCATTTAGATCACCTAAGATGAAAAGAGATTTTTCTTTTAAATACATATCTCTAAACACCTTTTCAATGTATTCAAAAGATTCCGAGATAGCATGGGGGGTCCCTATGGACAGCGCTAATAATGAAGGAAGGAAGCATGTTGCTTTGTACGGTAACCCAGACACCTTCTACGGCAGTATTGTTAAGTGCTGTAGTAGATTTTACGGTATCCCGTACATATATACATACTCCTCCTCCTCGTCCTGCATCACATCTATAAACTGAAAATTTTGGAATATTGATGAAATTACTAACCATTTCCTGGTGGAGACATGTTTCACTTATGCATAATATGTCTATGATTCTCTCCTCAACTGGCATTTTAATTTCTTCAAAATGTCCGAAGAGAGACCGACGGCGCTGCCTTGTCAATCATTCTGATCGCGCTTGTACTTATTTTGGTCAATGAACACTTTAACATTATCGGGAAAGGCATCAGAGTCTATAAACAGCTCGGGCTTTATGTCCTTTCCGCTTACTGACACCGTGAAGCTGGTGTAGTAGTCGTGTGTCATCAAAGTCTTATGGGGTCTGACACTTGAAATGTTTTGATATGACTTTGGCGTAACCGTCTTCATCAACATCTTGTGTGGACCGTTCTGCATAGTTGTTAATGATGACTGGTGGCACTGCTGGAGGAGGGGGGGGGGGGCAGTGGGTAGGGCGGTAGCCCCTTGCACCTGCTGCTGAGCGGGTTCGCTTTGCTTGTTATTCCTTGTTATTGTTATTTTTTTTCTCTTTTTTTCTTCGAAAGCTCCGTTTAGGTGTTACTGATGTAGAAGCTTGGTTTCCTTTGGCGTGTTAGTTTTTGGGAGGGCTCTTAGTGGACTTGAGGGAGGCGAGGGAGTCTATATTGGCCGGGGTCTGCTGGCTAGGAGCGCCGGGCGAGGGGCACGTGGGTGGCTCAGCAGAGTTGAAGGCCGGCGAGTCAGCAAGGGCGCGGGGCAGCTGGCTGGCCGCGGGCAGGGAGAGAGGGGAAGGTTTTGGAAGGGGAAGACTTTCGGTCGTGGGTATGGGCGTGAAGGGTGTGGAGGAGGGGTTTGGGGTGGAGGTAGGGGGCGTTGTGACGGGGGAGGAGATGTGAAAGGGAAGGTTTCGTACGTGGTCTGATCACGGGTGGGGGATGGGAGGCAGGGGGGTTCTTGTGCGACCGATGCGTCCTCTGCTTGTTTAGTGCCCCATGATTTTATTAATGAACAATTACTGTACGGAGAACATTCCGATCAGTAAGTCGATTTTGTTCTTGATCAGATTTTGATCCGTGAAGGAGGGCCCATTGCAGGTCTGTGCTTCTTGGTTTGTACTCTTTTGGAAAAAAAATAACAAGTGGAGTAGAAATACCTGATTTCTTAGGCGGTGACCAGTCTGTTGGGGGAGTGTCCGTTGCAGATGCTGCAAATACTATGTTTTGATTACCGACACACTAAGCAACCATTATGTGCACGATAATGTTTGTCATCCGCTTAGTGTCTCGTGTCGTGTTCCTGGGGTTTCTGTCGGACAAGCTGATTACAATGGTCTGGTCTTGTTCGATTTCTGCCGCCCTGTAATGTATTCTGATTTGATCACAGATGCCCATGACTGTTTTGTAGCAACAAAACACAGAGTTGTGTTCAGCACTATTGCCAAAATGATATTAAGCCTTTTCAAACTGATTTACACTGTTTCCACTGGCATTATTGCTGTTACTGTGAAGAGGCACCTCTCCCTGGGCCGGGGGTCAGCCTTGACCCTGGCTGCCATGGGGGTGCCCATACTCGTGGCCGGGGAGGCAGCCCTGACCCACGCTGCCGGGAGGCCCATATCCTAGGGCTGAGGTCCCGGTACCCTGGGAGGGGAGCACATTACCCTGGGTCAAGGGTCCCCTTTCTCCCTGGGGATAAGAGCTCGTGCTAGCTGCCCGAGGAAGCACCAGGGAGGCCCCCTGGTTGGCCCCTCAAACCCGGGGGAGGGGTCAGATTACCCTCTGACACTGCGGGACCAGGATTTGCCGAGTTGCGGGGCTGCGGCGGGGAGGAGGCAAAACACGCCCGATCACCATGGCGGCTAGACTTAGAGAGAGAGAGATAGATAGATAGAGAGAGAGAGAGAAAGAGAGCGAGAGAGAGAGAGAGAGAGATAGATAGATAGATAGATAGATAGATAGATAGATAGAGAGAGAGAGAGAGAGAGAGAGAGATGGCTAGGTTAAATACAACATACATATTAACATATAGAAATGAAGACAGTACATATCCACGTTCCTGGAATTCTCACCAGAGATAAAAAGCGTAATGGACATAAAGATTATTGATATCTTCGTTAATCTCTTTTGCATTTTTTTTTTGCAATAATCCTCGTTCACTTTTCACGCGTAGTTATAAATGCACTTCACTAAGCATTACAGTCATTCTAATGATGACGATGTCGCTAATCCTAAAATGTAAGTAATATTTATTCGCAACGGTGTAAAATATTCACTACAATAGTTAGCTGTAAATAATCCTTAGAGACTGCATCGTTTTAGAAAATAATTTTCCGTCAACGCAGATATTTCAGTGTAAAACAGTGTTCATATGCATATGTATACTTATACATATATGTATATGAATATGTGTGTGTGTGTGCATATATATATATATATATATATATATATATATATATATATATATATATATATATATATATATATATATATATATATATATACAATCATATATATATACACACATATGTATATATATATATATATATATATATATATATATATATATATATATATATATATATATATATATATATCATCGACTTCTTTACAAATCATTATTGTTTTATAAAATGCCATCAACTCTCATAGCAGCAGCTTCATCAAAGCTACTAGTATGGACGCGATTTCACTTCGAATATATGATTTGACGTAGAGCAATTGTCAACATTTTCCTGAAATTGAAACCCATCGTGTTTTTTTTTCTGTTCAGATTCCATTGCCAAGTTAACCATGTCAGAATTAGTATTAATTTTGTTACCGTTTACCGTTATCGTTTTGTACCATTCGAAAGTTAATATTCCCCCCCCTCCCCCCCGTGAGGACATAAGAACATCTTCTTCCTCCGTTCTCGCCGGCGATGGTAACATGTTCTTAACACAGCGGCCGAGTTCCGACATTTCTACGATCCTGTATTCTTAAAAAAAGATTTTTTTTTTAGCCGTCTTGTCAAATTTGCCTTGTCATGGCATGTGTATGACCTTTAAGGGTAAATAAGAAAATAAATAGATGATGATAATTATAATGCTTAAGCAAATACAGGATTATTACTGTTATTATTATTTCGTTCATTTGAATACCTAAAAAGGAAGAAAAGAGAGAGAGAGAGAGAGAGAGAAAAAAAAACTTTGGTTACATATCAACGACAGCAGGAAAAACATGTCAGTGTGTTGGTGTCCAGATGTTGTTCCCCCCTAAAAAGAAACGAAAATAAAATAAAATAACCGTATTGTGTTATTATTGTTTTAATAATAATGATAATAAAAACAATAATAATAATAATATAATGATTGTGGTGATAATGATGATAATGATAAAGATAATAAAGATGATGATAATGATAATGATGATGATGATGATGATGATGATGATGATGATGATGATGATGATGATGATGATGATGATGATGATGATGATAATGATAATAATAATAATAATAATAATAATAATGATAATAATAATAATAATAATAATAATAATAATAATAATAATAATAATAATAATGATAATAATAACAATGATATTGACAACAAGAACAACAACAGTGATAAAGATAATGATAATGATTATAATTAAAACAATATCAACAGTGATGAAAGTAATGTTGACAACAGTGATAATTTTCAGATTATGTGAACGAGGAACCCCAACGAAGGCGACTCGTGAGGCAGGAGAAAGCGAGGGCCCCGTCCGTTCCTCGAAAGGGGGGGGGAGGGGAAGGTGAGGGAAACGAGGTGAATCCTCAGAACCTACGCGATATCACAAGCCAACCACCGCCGGAGAATTACGAAAACATAAGCCAGAGTGGTTAAAAAACAAAACAAAAAAACAATGAAGCTTGCTAGATGGGTTTGACTAAAATCTAGACTTAAATACGTAGAAGGTGAAATAAGAACAAAAGAGTAAAAGATCGTAAAAGAATAGACAGAAAAGTCATGAAAGGCAAAAGCTGAAATAAAAAGCGAGTGAAAGGGTAAAGCATGAATAATAGAAAAGAGCAAAAGAACAAGATAAAAGGACGTAAAATTCAAAGTGAAATAAAAATCAAGAATCAAAGCACACATGATTAAACGTAATGCATAGATACACCTGTAAAAGGGAAAGTAAAACCAGCATCTGTGGTGTAAAATCCAGACAGGGGTTAACGTACGTAATATTCTAGGATTATATAATGCAAGGTATCAACCCCCTTCCCTTCTAAGATCAAAGGAATAATCCGTATTCTGTATAAGGTATGTTTTGTACGTAAGATTTACATGTAATTAAGGCCTTAAGAGTGCTTTCATAACGCGTTCTTAATTACTGTCCATTCCCTAAGATTCACGATTGGATAGCTGATAAGGGTGATGAAACATATCTTGTTTGAACAGTGGAAATGTCCTTCTGGTTTTCAGTGGCTGAGTATTAGTTTTTGTCGAGCATTGTTGACTTGAACTTGAGAATAAAACGATATATTTCGCGATGACCAGATGGGCAGTGTATTTCATGTTTTATTATATAAACCATTTGATTGATTGATATTGCATAATATGTGTGTGTGTTTTTAAATAAATGATAATTCTAAATCATTTTGTATTTCTTTAATTAGAATTACTTTAAAATAATTTTGCATGAAGAATAGAATTAATGATGCATAGAAATTTTGTTTAATTTTCCATGTTTGATTTCTCCATAATTAAATGATGTATGTATTGTATTCACAGAATATTTCACGCCAAAACTTGATCAGTTATTGCATTTATTATTTTATGAATACGTTGATTTGTTTGCTTTAATGTGCATGTGCATGTGTTGATTTCAAAATATTATTTCAGGTCGAAATAAATATGCTTACGACAAGTGAAGTATTTTTTTTTTTTAGTAATCCGGGAAACAAATGATTAACAATATCATTGCTACTACTACTACTTTTATTATCATTGTTATTATTATTACCATCATCTTTATCATTATGATTATTATTATTATTGTTATTATTATTATTATCATTATTATCATTATTATTATTATTATTATTATTATTATTATCTTTATTATTATTATTATTATTATTATCATTATCATCATCATCATTATAATTGTTAGCAGTAGTAGTATTACGACTAATTTCTGCAATGATGATGAAATTATTAATATCATCATCATTATTATTATCAGTAGTAATAGTAATACTATTAATACTATCAACAAAATTATCATAGTTATTATACTTATTATTATTATCATTATTATTATTATTATTATTATTATTATTATTATTATCATTAATTAGCAAAGATTATTACTATTATTATTATCATCATTATTATTATTTCATTATTATTATCATTATTATTATTATTATTATCATCATCATCACCATCACCATCACCATCACCATCATCATCATCATCATCATCATTATCAATACCATTATTATTATAATCGTTATCATCATTACTGTTATAATAATAATAAGAATACTAATAACAATGATAATAAAAATACTATCATTATTATTATTTTCATTATTATTATCATTGTCTTTATTGTTATTATCATCATTATTATCATCGTCAATATCATTATTATTATTATTATCATCATTATGAATGAAATTTACTTCATTATAATTACCATTGCTATTGTTATCTTTATCATTTTCATTAATATTCTTATAGTCATTGTTGTTATTGTTGTCTGTATTATTATTAATACAATTAGCATTTTTACTTTTAAAACCATCCTTATCATTACTATTACCATTATTATATATTTTATCAACATTATTATTATCAAGGCTATTGTTGCTGCTATTATTATCATCATTGTTACTGCTATTATTATTATCATTATTATCATTATTATTATTATCATTATTACTATTATTGTTATTATTATTATTATCATCATTATTACTATTATTGTTATTATTATTATCATCATCATCGTCATTATCATTATAGCTGTTATTACCTACATAATCTTTTATTATCATGACTATTATCATAGCAAAGACACAAAACATAAAATATGGCCTTTTGAATATAAAATCTTTTAAGAAATATGTCTTCTCCTTTTCCACACTACAGTAATGAGGGAAATCCGTTTCAAGGCGACAAGAATCACGCTCTAAGTCTTTGAAATCATTTCGAAAAATTATCAAAGGAATATTCAATGTAGATATACTTTCTACGCCATTTCCCCCGTCTGATTTTCCTGGGTTTCTGATGTAGGTTTCAGTCCTTCAGGATTTATTATTCAGCTGTTTTATCCATGCGTTTAATGCGGGATAAATTGGATGGAACTTTGTATTTTTTCTGTGGCGTGAAAAAATCGGGATTTGCTAAGTTGATACCGGCTTATATCACTATGTACAGAAGAAATTATATTAAGGGAATAATGTTTATGTCATTTGTGATAAACAGAGTACCGTATTACAGGAGGCGATCACGAAATAAGGAAAGATAATCTGAAATGGCAAGATAGCCTTATGAACATATACATTTTTTTCTTGTTCAGTTTGTCTTGAAGTGCTTACATAGCAATGTCAAGCTACCGTCGTCATCCCACGTAACAATTAGATATTATGGATCTACGTAATTTGCTGAAATTGCACTGCCCATAGATAAAGGGTGATTTGCAGCCTTAAATGACCTACAATATATTACAAAGTGCACGTTAGGCTGTCGTTCCGGAGGTAAAGGCATCCTTTTATCCGTAAGTTGATGCCCGTAATCAGCTGGTCACATTATAAGCGCAAAGTAAGCTCGGATAGACAGTGAACTGGGTTATCGTAGCTGTTATGTCTTCAGCTG